AGGCATTAGATAGACAAGAAGTGCAATAAGAAGGAAGCGAATCGTTCGTGTTTCGGCCATAATTTGGCGGAAGAGGAACGTGGAAGAAGTGCATGGCTGGGGAAGGAAGAACCTTTCCATTTGCGGCGCGCAATTAAGCGCCGCGCGCTCGTGCAACTGCGTTATTCATCGTCCGTTAACCATATAATTAGCCAATTGCTAATTGCCCGAGTTCACATGAGCCTGAGCGACCGGGGCCAGTTTGCCTGGCCCAGGCGCATTAATCACTCGGTCGTCCCATATGATCCTCCTCTCGACACGAATTGAATCAGGTCAGCGTAACGTCAGAGTATACAGAAATATGAAAAGTGTTTTGGCCTAAATGCAACGTGAAACGAGGAAAGTTTCTCGGGGATCGGCATAAGCACAAATCAGCAAGATAAACTTATTCTTATATTTTCACTCTCTCTGTAAACATGATATAATTCGAGTTAAATTAAATACAAATAAATACTCTGCCTCTGTAATTCTCTCTGACTCTAAAAAATATTATTCAGAAGAGTAATTTATGTCAAGTAATGTATATGAAAAATTGCAAAACGTTGATATGAAATAATTAAACAATTATACTAATGTTCCATTTATAATTTCTTATAACAATTATATTGAGAAATTTATTCTGAACATACAGTAAAAAAATAACGGAGTAAAATCGAGCGAATTTCGTATTCCATAATAATTAAAAACTACTTGCTTCTGTACTCTCAGAACATTCTAACACAGCATAAATATGAAAAATTGATTTGACTTACAAATTTAAAAAAAAAAAACTTATCTTAAACGATAAATAATGAGAAAAAACTCTTGAGTTGTGTGAAGATAGTTCAAACTACGTTAGCTCAATACGTTAGTGTCTCCACAACTCTCTACAGCTTAAATCATAAAAATTCTTGTTAATTTCTGCAGTTAATGCAATATTTTATATGCTTCCAAATTTAAACATTATTTCAATCAAAATTATTACACAAAAACACATATTCTCGATAATATAATTAAGAATCCAATTAAATGACAGTAAAAGAGAAACCTACAAACCAGAGGAGAACGTATTCGCATAACATTTTCTCGACATTTCCTTCACGGCAGATCAGAAGTCGACGTGATTAGCAAAGCAGCTGTTCTAATTGAGAAAACAGACGTGGGTTTTAAATCAGTCGGCGCGGAATGTCGAGTCGGTCCAGTTCTGTCATTTAAATACCGCCCACTGAAAGCGACAGGGGAAAAGAAATCATGTCCGGCGTATAACCAAACTCTCGTAGTGTGCGTGCGTGTGGACCCGCGCGCGAGCGCGCGCCGTCCTCAGGACGTGTGGAAGTGGTGGATCACGGAACGCCGGTACGGGTCGACAACGTTCGTCCTGGTGCCGCGCGCCAACCGGCCCGTATAACGCGCGAACGTTCCTCTACGCAAATGCGACTGATACGCACCTAAATCCGTTTGCGGCGAGACGAGCCGTGCGGGCGAAACGCAGCCGAACACACACTAGCGGCCGCGCAAACCAGCCACCTTCCGCGTGAGCGAGGTAGACGAACGTGACACGTTGCGAAAAAGGTGCACGTCCTCACACGCGAGTTTCATGCGCGAAGACTGCACGGCACGATCGCAAACGCAAACACCTTGCGAGAGAAACGTCACTCACTCATTCTAGTCAGGCGGCCATTTTGCTACGCATGACCCATGCGGAAGAAACATCGTGACATGTTGACTCGCGCATGAAACTCGAAACGCTTGAAGTTACTTGCGCTAGTAACAACAGTAATACCAATTAGGAACTATGAGACATGGCTACGTTCAGTGGACTCAACAGTTGAGTGAGCGCTCGCTGTTATTGGTGCATTCTTCTAAATCTAAAATTCTGACTGGATGATTTAAAAGAATACACCAATAACGACGAGCGCTCACTCAACTGTTGAATCCGCTGAACGCACCCATTGGTGTATTCTTTTAGATTTAAAATCTGATTGGATGATCTAAAAGAATACACCAATAACAGCGAGCGCTCACTCAACTGTTGAGTCTGTTGAACGTAGCCAATGGGTGCATCCAGAAGCACAACCGCTCACTGAGCGCTAAGTGAACTTTTTTGTCTGATTGGCATATTCCAATAGATCTAAAAATATAACCCAAACAGATACAAAAGCTCACTGAGCGCTCAATGGCCGGTATTCATAGTCAGTTCTTATTTGAAGACTGTCTTAAGTAATGTCTTAAAATGCTAAAGCGGCCCTCTGATTGGTTCGTAACTCTTCAAGATTGGATTTAAGATGGTCTTGAATATAAGAACTGACTATGAATACCGGCCTTTGATTGGTTCGTGACATCTTAAGACTGTACTTAAGACGATCTCGAATATAAGAATTGACTATGAACATCGGCCTATGAGCGGTGCTTCTGGATGCACTCAATAAAATTATTTAACATGTCACTACGCATGCTCTGAGACCCTATTCTTGAAAAATATCGCATACGAAACCTAGGGAAATACTACAGCATACGTTACGTATACTATAGGCCTAGTTTACATCGTCCAATTGATACGAGTACTAACCACGTCCACTCAAATCATATTTCTCGTGCCATTTCTTTTGTAAGCTTCAAAATCATAATTTGAAGGTCTCATGATAATCTTATAAATTAGTCAAATCCGGAAGTCTTTTTTGTTTGAATATATGCTTGCATTCATTTATATAGATATATGTGAAGGAAAAACCTACGTGGTAATTTTTGGGGGATTCTCATACCGGTTTGGACTTTTCCGGACTTGTCTGTGTTTTCCCTTTTATTCTGGAAAAGGATTTTTTATTCTGTATAAGGAAAACGAAATGGCACGAGAAATACGAAATGCGTTCCGTCGGTAACTCCAGCATCTTAATTAAGTTTTCTATTCTTTGGAGTAATTATTTTATATGACTTATTATATATATTGTTTTAATGCGTAATAAATATGCATGCGGACTTTATTAAGAAATCTTTTGGGAAATCTGAACATTGTGATACAAAAGTTATATTTTGTGCTAATTGGAACAGATAATTATCAATATTTTTTTTAAACAATTTTTTTCAAAATTTTTGACAAATATTTCTTCTAAATTATAAATGTAAAACAAAAATTATTAGTTGGTATATTTAAATTACCAAATAAATCTCCATTTTTGTTTTTGTAAGCTCAAAAAAGAACAATAGAATAGCATTGTATTATCTAAGACAGCATTACTTTCATTTACAAAATTTTGGATACACATCACATAAATGTATTGTTAAACATTTTTTTGTTAAAGCCACACACATATTTAAATACATTTTCCTGTGGCAGATCCTTTGAGCAAAATCATGTTCAGGAATTTTTTAAACTTTGTTCATTGACAATTGTGGACGTCTCTGTAGTATTTGATGTTTCAATAATATTTAATAAATTATCGTTATCCTTTTCACAATTTTACGTTTCAGAATGTTGTAATAATTTCATACTGTGAATAATTTTTTAAAAGCACGCTTGAACTGTGTAGGTGTTGGATTAAGTCAACTACCACTTTGTTTCCGAACAGTATCAACAAAATTTTCAACCAATCTTGATTTAGCCTGCGTGTTCGGAGATATGGAAAATTATAGGTTTTTTTTCAATTTCCTAAAGTTGAATTATATTCGTAATTATGATCTGCCAACAATCTAAACATTTTAGCGTTACATATTTATTTTTATCGTTAATTACTTTAATATATTTTAAATAAATCAACATGTCTTGTAAAAATTACATTTGTTTGTTACTTCCTGTAGTAATTTGTGATCAACTGATTTTATATTGTCCTTGAGATAATAATGTACTCGTGTGTTAGGACGACAGTTATTTATTGCGACTGCTCTGTACAGAAAATATGGCGAATAGAGATGGGTAGTTCGCGAACGAACGGTTTAAATGAATGAATCTTTTACGTTCTAGATGAGAGAGAGAGAGAGAGAACTAGTTCATAATTCTCAACGATTATATTTGTTTAATTCTCAAACTCTCTAATGCCTGTTTTTATCAATGCAGATTAACTTTTATGTCGGTTTAACTTACTGTTCATCTTTCTCTAATTTTTAGAATTAAAAAAAGATGAAGAGTAAATTGAAGATTCATACTGGATCCAACATGAATCGTACGACACTGTGCAACCAAGCAGAAAGTGGAATTCTTTATAGGCTGCGTTTCACATAACGCTCACAATATAATTTCAAGGAATTAATCTCAAGACTGGCCATTACGATAATCAATCAAGACGCTTAACGCCGGTTGCGTATCTCTGATAAATCTAGAACTCTAGCTCGAGTCATTAATGCATGCTCAAGTAGTAATATAATGCATGTGGAAAATTTTGGACGAGTAGTTCGCGATGAACTATTTTGACGAATGGATCTTTCCAATGAACTCGTTCGTAACTAATTCACTAAGAAGAACCGTTTTTCCCATCTCTAATGGCAAACGTAATTCAAGCATTCATAAAACTCAGCGCGCCAAAACACATGTTCTTGCGCCGCGTTCACAAAAATACAAAAAAGCTACATAGATCCAACGCTATTCTAATTACCCTAATTACTAACTGGCCTCTAATAATATAAATAACAGACTCAGGCCAGTAGTCAGTTCTTATCATACATTCAAGACCGTCTAAGTTCAGTCTTGAGGTCTCACAAACTAATCAGAAGGCTACATTAACGTCTTAAGATATTACGATGGTTTTGAAATAAGAATCTACTATGAATACCGATCTCAGACATTTGCAATAAAAACTTTTCCATATTCTTTAGGATTATTTACATTGAATGAATTTAATATATCAAATAATTTATCAAAATTATCAATCAAGTCTAATTTCAATTGCTTCAGTTAGAAGAAAACCAGAAGACATCTGTATTATTACATACACGTACCTACTGCTACATGATTACTATAAATATTTATACAACATATTTAACTTTTGCGCTTAAAAAGTTATTCGATTCAAAATGAGAATTTGTTGCAGGAGCTGCTTTTATCCATTGTCTGATGTCTTTTTTATAAAATTCTACAATATGAGCCCACAAAGCTATTTTATTGTTTATTTGAAAATTGTATTTTATTGTATCTTTTAATTATCGTATATACTGCTACGTTTGCGTTTGCATTGTGCATCAATTTGTGCCGCTATAATATTTTAGTAAATTTCCCTGGTAATAACGTACGGCCTAATTTTTTTAAAGTTTGTTCATTAATTTTTTTTTTTTGGCTTGTATGTTCTTCTTTTTCTTCAAACGAAGTCTTCGGATTGTTTCGCGAAGCGTTTTATTTTGTGCCTTTAATTTTGCGATTTTCAAGCGCAACTTATTCTTCTTTGGACTACTCTCTGACAATTTCATGTCCTCTTTTTTATCCTTGGATGTACTTCTGTATCAAGTTTAAATTCATATTAGATATTGAAAAAAAAAGATTTATTATTCTAATAGAAACAAATAACAAAAATATAATAAACTAATAAATAAAATATAAGATTATATAAAGAATTAAAAAATATATTATGTTAATGTACGTTAACATACAATATGTTGCAAATAATTTCAAATTCTAGTATAAACTTTATTTTATATAAGAACATTGATAATTTTCTTTAACTCTGTAAGGCCCAGATACTTACCGATTCTGTGTGTGTTTAAGTAAATTTTTTTTTCTTTACAATATGATTTATAAAAATGTTTCTGATGAAGAATTTTATGAATCAAATAAAATTGTTCTTCTGAAGATATATATACTAATAATTATGTATATACATTCATGTTTATATATATGTATATATATTTCAGCTACAGAATACTATATGTAATTGCAATAATAAACATGAAAAATCAGTTGTGTACTTTAAGGAGAAATTAAGAGGTTACTTTTATTTACATATTTTCATGAATAATATATTACGCAAAATCAAATGTCAGTGAATTTGTTCTACAAACAATCACCCTAGTAGCTTATTTACTGAGAATACTATTAATTTTTAAATTAAAATAAAAAATCTAATTCCAACTAATAAGTATGAATTAAAAGTATTATACCAACAGAGTTACTACTGTGTCAATAGAAATAATATTTAGGAAAAGCTCGAATTGAATATATTTAATAATATTCAATACTAAAGACCGTTAATGTAAGAACATAATTAATACAAATATGAAGCCTATAACAGTCTAGCTTGGATCTTTAATCGCTTACATATAAACTACTGCGATATTATCACGATAATTATTAATTTATTTTAATTCGTGATAGTACCGCGGTATTTTATATGTAAGCGATTAATGATCCAAGCTAGACTGTTATAGGCTTCATATTTGTATTAGTTATGAATATATTTAATTATATACACTGGGCCTCTTACAGGGTTAAATAAGTAAAAATTTAATGAAAATTAATATTATCTAATCTACATAAATACAATGATACAAATACATTCTATTCAATGTAATTTATAATAAATTAAGACTTACGGTTTAACTATCTCAGCATCTACATTATTATCAGTAATTAACAGTGATTTTGCAGATTCCGCATTGCTAAAAATATCAAATTTTGTTACACATTAAATCTCTTATTAAAAACAGAAAACATTATTTATTACCTGTTTTTTTCCTGTGTTTTATTTGTAGGTTCTTTATATATATATATATTTCTGCAACAAAAATATATGATATAACATTACAAAACAAAATATCATTAAAACATATAGAAAAAATTACTTAAATACAAAGTATTTGAACATACTCATTTGTTTCTGCTTTAACTTCAATTTTAATGTGTTTCTGCACATGCTTTTGCCGTGTTTCTACAGATTCCATATTGCTGAAAATATAAAATTTTGTTATGCATTAAGTCTCTTATTAAAAATACTAAATATTATTTATTACCTGTTTTTTTCCTGTGTTTTGTTTGCTCCGTCTTTAGACCATATTTGCTCTGTCTTTATAAAGAACCTTGATTTAGGTTCTCCATCCATATATATGGTTCTGCAACAAAAATATATGATATCATAACATTGAAAAATAAAATATCATATTAATATATAAACAAAAATACTTAAATACAAAGTATTTGAATGTAACATACTCATTTGTTTCTACTTCTTCTTTAATTTCCATATCCATTGTGTTTTCTCTGAAAATAGACAGACTTATTTCCTGATTTCATAAATTACTTGTAATAATAAATGAAAAATAAAATGTCTTCCTCATTATTATTTATTAAAGTGACTACATAGGTATAAATTATTCTTAAATTATTTTTGAGATCATTTACATTCCTTTTTATATCTCTATTATGTAAAAGCAAACTTTGGAATCATTAAAGAACAAATTTAATTATAAGTAGAAACTTACTCCTTATAACTGGGTCCAAAAAATATTGTCGGTACGGCGTCTGGGTGAAGACGAGCTCTCATTATATTTTTTTTGTACCATTTCTCTTCGAAATGCAAGTGGCACAACCGACAATTCTGGTATGCATATTCTGGACCTTTTGGTTCTAAGTCCAACCTTCCACAAGCTCGTACCCATTGCAACCATCTATAAAAATTATAATATTTTATCAATAAAAGTACATAAAATTAAAAATTGATTTTTATACAAAAAGTGATGAAAACAACATACTTCTCACGTTCCTTTGGAAATCGGAAAAAATAACGTTCTTTTAAAATAAATCTTTTTGTGCATTCTGGTACTGCACACCATACATTTTTTGTATTCATTTTATGTAATTCTTTTTTTAAATAAGGGTGCAACGGAGGGTAAGTCTCAAAAATCGATTAAATTATACTCATCCGACGCGTTTTTCCATAAAACGAAAGAATCTGGTGGAAGAAGTAAGTGTCGCTCTACCTCGCGAACCGAAATATTAAGCGTTCAAGTTTTTTTTTTTTTTTAAAGCTCTTCAGCCCTAAAAGCGTTCAAGTAGACGACAATTGAGGTTAGGAAATCTGTCACAGCCCTATAATCGCGTCTTCTACATGCATTTCGATCTTATGCGCATGCGTCACTTTTCGGTCCAACAGGAACGAAATTTAAAAACCTCTATTGTAGATCCGGGGTAAATCAACGCACAAGGTTTTGCCGTAACTATTTCCAACAGAAACGTAATAAGTCAACGCAAGAATCGATATAAACATACGTCGTATGCCATAAGGATCTTTACGACAATCATTGTGCATTAATTTAACTCTGTTACGAGCAGTTACGAGACAATTCACGACAACCTTTGTACTCAGGCCCGAGTTTGAGAAGAATTGAGAAGAATAATCGACTTATGATTCGTCCATTTCACATGTTTTTTTTTCGCCAATGGCGAAGAAAATATTTTTTACGCCACTACTCATATCGCCTCGCTGATTGGTTACTGGTTCCGTTGCTTGACGCTTGACAGTTGCATGTAAATGTACCTTGATCGAGCAGTTTGCTATGCGTGCAGACAACTTTTAACATTCCAATTCAGGTGGTTAGTGTTCGAAAATTTAATTCAATTGTGATTCCTGTTATCAACATATGGTGACTGTTTTCGTTGCACGAAGCATTTTTGGTCGCATAAAGTCTTTTACTTCAACACAACACGATGGCACCGCAATTGCAGATTTTGTCTAACATTCTGCAGGTAAATGTCACAAGCATATTTGCATCGATAACGGTTCGAGAGAAGACATATAATTCATATTTTTTCTCAAGTTTTTTATTAGTTCAACTTGTAAAATATTTCTTACAAGGAAGTATTTTGTGAATGTATATTATATCTTTTTATTCGAAAATTATTATTGAGGCAGTGCTGTGTTTTGTATATATTTAACAAAATATATTTAGTAATGCCAATATATATATATATTTATTTAGTGTTTAAATAAAATAATACTTTTAGCGATTTAAAACCCTGGGACCGGCATTGTCTGGCTATCTTTATGGTATTATGTACAATGATACTCTCATAGTTCTAACATTCAGTTTAAATATGGATAATTGTGATGATAACGACCTATTAAATTATACAGTACTGCAGTTGAATCTACCTGCAGATATATATTTCTGTGGCATATTACAGATTAGTATAGAATTAGTAGAACATAATGAAATAAATCTTGATGTTTTCAAGGTAATTACAAATTAGACTTGTTTATCCATGGTGTTGTTTATATTTCGTTTATTCTTATGTAACATTTATTTGTTTCAGGACATTGATATTACAGATAATCCATTACTTTTGAAATATTCACATAAGACAAGTGATATACAAGCGTATTTTTATGTCCATCAAAAACTAGAAGCTATAAATAATCTCAGTATTATTAGCGAAGATGATCTTTCTCGACAATTTGCATATATTAGATTACAAGCAAGTCTACCATTGATTGTTCAGGATGAAAATGTATCAGAAGCTTTGGAAGAGTTACGAAAAAATGTGAGATTTCTCTTTTGATTAACATTTTTACTTCAATTTTTTGTAATGCTATATATATATATATATATTGTATAATTTTGCATTACAGATAGCATCTGGAAAAATAGGAATACATTTTCCTTTGAACAATACATATCTCTTCAGAAGTGATGACAACATAAAAGACATAGTATTAAAAGATATTTTATCTGTATCCAAAAACCAAGAGAAACTTTCAACTGGATCAAATGATGTAAATTGTAATACTGGGCCTGTGGTATGTGCTTTTATCTTAAACTTGTATATACTATTTTAAACAGAAATTGTGTCAGAGTATCTTCACACATTTTAATTTGCAGAAAGTTATACATGCAAACATGTTACTGAAGATGTCAAGTGAAAGAAATTTTGAAGAATCTGTCAGATATGCTCCTATTTTGCAACACATTAAAAGTAAGTACTTTATAGAAAAGTATTAAATGTATTAAATCTGTAAATATATTGCAGATATCAAATGTGTATTTATATTAATACATGTTTCTAATTTATCATATATTTTACTTGTTTTGATGTTGTAGAATCCTTCAATAGTTCAAGATGCACTTTACACATCGATGCATTATCATTGGTAAATTTAAATGTAAACTCAGCTGAATTGCACGCAATTTTAGTGGAATCCGCTTGCCGAATTATCAGATTAACTGAAATGCAACAAAAAAATCAGTCTGAAGATACCCAATTAGCTGAAATTATGCATTTCAGACCTCAGAATTGTGGACATTTATTTACAGTAGTATATCCTGGCAATTATGATGATAATACTACAAGTAAGATCTCGTCTTGATTACATTTATTTATTGAAGATCATACAATAAGTTCTATTACTATTGATATTTGTATTCATATAATATCCTGTATTGTCATTATACATTATCGAATTTGTTATTATAGTAATAAATGTGTGTCATCTATTTGCTTTATACAGATCAGTCATATAATTTCAGTGAAATATCGTCACCTTTTACACAGGACTTTAGCACTAAGCATGGATAGACCTCAATTTCGACGAGGAAATGCTGTCAAATTAGACACACAGACAAACGAGATACTTATAAATCCTCATCAGGTTCTTTTAAATAAAGGTATTTTAAGTAAAGGTTTATTCATATACTCCCAAATTTATCAATATTTATGTTTATCAATTATATATATATATATATATATATATAATAATATTTTATTGTCTTAATTAGGTGTTACAGGAAAATTGAGTATTGTGGAGGGTTTATATTCGTATCATCATTATATGCAAGATAATTGTGATGATATTGGATGGGGATGTGCTTATAGATCTCTCCAAACCATTATTTCATGGTACAGGTAATAAAAGATAAAAATAACCAGAAATTGTATATGCGCAATGTTGAAATATTATGTACTGCTATCGTATACATGTTATGTACAGATAAATAAATTGCAATTTGCTATAGATTACAGGGTTATACTGAAATACCAGTACCATCTCATCGTACAATACAACAATGTTTAGTTGATATAGGCGATAAATCATTTAACTTTATTGGTAGTAAACAATGGATCGGTTCAACTGAAGTAAGTTTTATACTGCAGACTGTCTTTCAAATACAAGTCAGGATACTTCATGCAACAAGTGGAGAAGAGATGTTAACTTTAATTCCACAACTTGCAGATCATTTTGATACACAGGGTACACCTGTCATGATTGGTAAATTTTAATTGTATTTCTTCATAATTCTACAAACAATTAAAATTAGATATCTAAAATTGAATATAAAATATTAACTTTCTGTATGTTTTTTTTTTTTTTTGTTTTACAGGTGGAGGAGTATTAGCTCATACAATTCTAGGAGTTAGTTATGATGAACATTCTGAAGAAGGAAAATTCCTAATTTTAGATCCACATTACACAGGTGGAGAACATTTGCCTACCATAGTAAATAAAGGTTGGTGTGGCTGGAAAACGAAAAATTTTTGGAAAAAGAATACATTTTACAATATGTGCCTTCCACAAAGACCTCTAACCTTCTAATATTAAATACACTGCATTACGTACAGAATTTAATTTCCTAAATATAATCAAAATAAAATTCTCTATTGTATATTCACACATCATGAATGCACATATATACTATATGTACAGAATAATTTTTATATTTTATTCTATCATTGCATTAGTTCTAATATTTTATTATACCTGTGCAATATATGCCATGAAGAATAAAGCCAGTGGCACATGATGCTTGTTTTTTCTTTGTTGGATTTCTAGCTAGATTAGATTCTTGTCACCATATGGTAGCCTTATCAGTAAGATAGCCATTGGTTACATTTACACCGTGTGCTTAGTCCACAACCTATACGATAGGTCTTTGTTTAACCTACAGAATAAACAAGGACATCTATTGTTTAGATCGTGGCCTAAATGCACAGTGTAAACGTAGCCAGTATATGATGGTAAGATTCTAATCTAGTTAGGAATCCAATAGAAAATAAGCATTTTGTGCTATTAACTTGATAAAAATAATTATTTATATATATATATAAAACTATTTTTATCAAGCCAGTAGTACAAAATGTTTGTTATACATATATATCGAAACTTTTATTTCTAAATAAAAATAAGATTTAATTAAGAGATGTTTGTAATAAACTTGCAATGAATAAATATTTATTGGACATATGATATGGAAAAGTGCACTTTCTCTCAATGTTATAATATATAATTTTATTAAACATTCACAAATATTAAATTAAAAATGTGATATATCGAGATGTAATATCTAAGATTATAGATCTGTTACTATCGACATAATTTATTATATAATATATGTATAAAATATATCTTACGGTATACTCTACAAATTTTACTTTCCTATAGAGTTTTGTATTAACTGTGCAAAACGATTTGTAACAAAGAGGGAAACATCTATAAATCTATCGACGCAATTGTTTATGCACGTTTCTGTGCGGCCATCCAATTTACTTCCTGGCTTATCAACACATTTGTCCCAACAAAAATCATTGAACTCGTGAATCTAAGCAAATTAAAAAATTTTTATGAAACTTTCACACATAAATAAAATTTTTTTTCCATGCAGATATTCATATCATTCTTGACAAGCACTTTTCAAGAATGATATGAATGAATACGTTTCATTTTTATACCTACATGTAAACATTAGTTCATTCTTGTTATCTATTAAGTATTAAACAAGGATAAATAATGTTTACGAGTAATGTAAATACAAAGTGTAACGCATCCTGTGCATAAAATGTTGAAACAATATTTGGAAAAGCAGTTCAAATACGATTCAATTTAATAAAAGTTCATCTGTTAAAATGTTTCACCTGCGCATTGAATTGCGCTTTTTGCTTCTCGACCATCAGAAGCTCCGCTAATTCCGGATCGATCCCTTTATTGTCCTTGTCAGAATAGGAATTGTTGTCAAATAGGTCCGACATGTTTTAAAATCGCGATCAAGTCGATTTGCAAAATCTTATTGTGAGAATCGTGAAAATGCAGGTTTTACACGTGGTCACGGAGTGATCCAAGGACCGGTTTTGTCAATGTCCAGGAAGTATAAAGAGACTCCACTCCACAGTGTAATCAATCTAGGATAGGGATGGGCGATCTCGATTCGATTTTCTAAGGAATCGATTCTTTTACATCGATTAATCAATTTTTTAGATCGATTTTGCTGCTTCGATTAATCCGGTGAATCGATTCTTTGGACCAAAGATCGATTCGATTAAAACTTTTTCGCTTTTCACGTTTCCACTTTTATAGCGCAACTGCACACCAACGCGATGTTCGTCGCGCGCGAAAGACGACTTAAGACCCTACGGTCGCTATGACTTGTATTGTAGACCCGAGAAGCTTAAAAAGAAGTGAAATATATACATGATATGCATGCACTGTTGAAACCCATTGAAACAATAGGTCTGTTCTTTTCTCCTGCACTGTCTGAATTAGTGCAGACGGTGCATAAATTGAAGCGAAACAGACGTACCTGTTTCGCTTTAATTAAAGTCTGCGACATATACAATGCGTTTTTTCATGTTAGATTGCTTGTGTTTTTGTAAATTATTAGAATTGCATCATAAGCTGGTTCTACAATAGTTGCAAGTCGAACGCAAGTTCGTTGCGACAGCCAATCTCAAGCTTGCATTTTGAAATCAACGCTTCAGATTGGCTGTCGCAACAAACTTGCGATCGGCTTGCAACTAATGTAGAACCGGCAATACGGAACGCGCGCGCGAATGATGAACAAAAATTGTGATCGTACCACCAGCAGAAATTAATTCTGCTCGTTACATTGACGAAATTATAAGTCCTAAATCCAATCGAGCAAATCTGGGACCTTCTTGGCCGTCGATTGAGATCTTCCCAATCAGCCTCAAAATTTACAGGAACTGGGCGATGCTGAAAAAAACAAATGAAGGTAAAGATTCACTCGTTTCGAAAGCAATAAACCGCATTTATGCACAATTTTTTCTTGGCTCCGTGGAACTTGGCACATTTTGTAAAAAATTTTTAGATTTGACACCCTTTTACTTATGATTGAGCAACTTCACGAAATATCAGTAAGACCGGTTTTTGAAGTACAGGTCTGAAAAGTAGAGATTTCAAGTTTTAATATGCTTCTTTAAACATCTTGATACAATGATTTTTCACGAAGTTATTCTATCTCAAAGTATGCCTATTTTTGCAGGGTGGAACAAGTAATCTTTTAATTTTGTTGTTAAGTACACTTGGAAATTTTAAGACGCACAATTTAGTTAGAATAAAAAAATTTTTTTGTTATACTTTCTGTTATTCTCGAAATCTCTCAAGTCTTTTACTTCATAACAAGATTGTTCAAGAAAGATGCTATAGAAGATTATTTTATTGAAAAAAGTCATCGTGCGTCGTAAAAAGTACGTCCATTATTTACTTCAATTGGTTTAATATAATGTATTGAAATAAATAATATTGTGAAGCGTATTAAATAATTTATAATTAATTAAAATGGATATGTGTTGTGCAATATTTATATATTAAAATAAGATATTTATTTTAAAGTATATTTATTTATTTTTGAGAAATTTTTAATATATAATTTATACATTAGTTTTAGGACGGGTGTATCAATGTAAAAATATGCATGTCTATTTTATCCACCGCTCTTATATATGCTACTTTTTCAAGAAACATTTTAAATAATTTTCTGAAAAAGAGAAAAAATACTCGTAATTTTAGGTTCATATATATATATCTTGCAAAAATAGAAAATATTCAATAATTATATTCTATTTGAAGAATATTTCAATAATTATTTAACCATTTCTTTCTATAAAAATTCAATGACTATTAAAAATATAAAGTAAATATGATAATGAAATCGGCCGATGACGGTTAAGCAGGATTAAATCGCTTGCCGAAATTTTTTCAGACTTACAACGCAACTCTAATCAACTACCGTAGTAATATCACTTTAGTTAAATTGACACAAGCAATCTAACAAATTGTTGATGCTTAAAGCATATCTTATTGAATCTTAACAACATGTTGAAGACATATTAAAATTTAACGACGTAATGTTAAATTAATGATAAATTAAAATCTGTGAAAAATAAGAAGGCGAAGAATTTAGCAACCAAAATCCTGCTTGACCGTCATCGGTCGATTTCATTATCATATTTACTTTATTTTCAATATCGACGGTCTTACACAAATCTTAATATTAAAAATATACGCACTATAATAATGTAACATATATATAGGTTTTACGATTCCATCAACATTGTATAATAAGAAAATGTCATTATTTACCGTAACAAAATATTATCGCGGAGGATACACAACAATATATAACTCACTCGATTCGTTTAAATAATGTTCAATTCCTTTCACTTAAATAACTGCATAAAGCAGTCATAATAGCAAGCTCCTCATGCATTCCTCGTAACTTTTCAATGATTCGATCGTATCTTGCCACGTATTTCGTCTGGATCACGGGCGGTAACATTTTCACAGCCATAAAACAGGAATACGTATTACCAGCTTCAATGAGACCTTCTATGACATTAAGTTTGACTTTTTCCACTTCGGAACGTATGTATGCTTTGTGTAAGAAGTACACGAGAATATCAACCATAAACGGGACTAATAGCGATGAGAAAATGTTAATTAATTCATGTAACTGCTGCCCGAGTTTCAGGCCAAAAGAGTTCTTGGTTGATTCTTGCAACGTCTTTGCGTATGTCAACAACAAATAAGACTTTGCATCCTGCCTGGGTGATAAGACAGATAAAAATATCATTTGTATGTCATCGATAACTTCCAGGTTAATAAATTTATTACGGTAAAACTTATCATTGATGTAGCTAATAATGAAATCATCTATGAATAAACACACGGCTTGGTTGATTGGATAGCAATTTAATTTTTTAGGATGGGGTACATTCCAATAAGTTACCACTGCGTTATGAAAGACGTCAGCAAATATTTTGAAGCGTGCTGCATATTTATCCTGATCTAATAAAATATGCGATATTGCAAAACGTCTTGCTTCTCTGGATACATCACTATCCATATGGAATAAAAATCTTCGAAGTATATTTTCAACATATTCTTCAGATAAAAGATTGAAAATAGATGCAGTAAGTGTTCTTAAGAAACTGGCAAGGTATTGGTTTTTTCTTTGGTCGTCCAGTCCTTGAAAATCGTCTATCGTTTTGAGCCATACATCCAGAAATCTTACAACGTATTCATTAGGCATTTCGGGAAATAGCTGCATCTCTAAAAACAATGCTTCGTCATCGAAACTCAACGTTGATATAGCTTGACAATATAAAGACCATGTTTCAGGATTTGGATTTGTAAGAAAATATTTCTGGAACGTCTCGAATAAAACTTGTCGTATTGAATGATCCTTCTCGATTGCCCATGTTTTCTGGAGAAAATCTGTAAACTCATGCTTAGTCGCTATCAAATACATCAGCTTAACTCCATGCTTACTTGTGCTCACGCGCATACTTGTCAATTTTTGTGCAGTTGATATAACTTTAGGCAAAGAAGTTCGCCTACTTACACTTGTTAGTGTATACAAACCTATTGATAAATAATTTCCTACACACAATCTAACTATGAGATCGAGAGGTACTGGTGGATTAGAAAGTCTCATGCTCAATGGTAAATAGTTTTTAGTTTTATAGTTCTTTATAGGATCGGGATCATTGATATATTTCGTTGTTTCTGTGGGTATGAAAGGATCGATCAGTTTTGTCAATTCATCACCATGACATAAAAGAGCCAAGACAACTAGGCTTGATGATATTTTATGTAAATTTTTATCGTTAATATAATTCATGCAACGTTCAAAAAATGTAATGGGCAAGTCTTTATACCATCGCGTGGCCTTGATAAAGCGTTGTACATGTTTTGAATAGTAGTTCCTCATGCAATCTGATAAGTATTCTTCCCAATTATCCAGTATGTTTCGTATATCTCGTTTCAATCGAGCGTGCGCCGCGCCTGACGTTACATTTTCGACATTTGAAGGATACCAACTGTAGTACAGTTCTGGCTCATTTTTCAGCAATAAATTTCTCAAGATATAATCTTCGTCACGATAATTGTAAGAAGTTTCTTCAGAATCTTCAGAGTTATAACGTAGACTGTCGCAAACGGTAACCATTAAAGAAGGATAATCTGTAATTGTCATTTTTTCTATTTTGATGCTCGATTTTTTATACCTATTGTTAAAATCATACATTGCTTCCATAATTTGGAAGAACATGTTTTCATTAATTTTTCTCATAAATATAAAAGATTTTTTTTCAATTTTATTTGCGAAAGCTACGAGACATTGCCTCTCATATTGTGGATATTCTTTAAGTATGTTAAAACTTCCGTAACATTCCTTTTCTACAAATATATTGATATACTTATCAATTGGTATATTGTGTATAAGATTGAAATGTATTGTAGCCACTAATATCTTTTCCGGTATGAACTCATGTGAAATATAATATAAATGAATAATGCGTGATACAAGAGAAATCAACCTTTCATTTGAATAAAGTAACTTGTTTATTTCTGGAAGTTGATCGAATATTCCTGTGCACACATACCAGCCTTCGTTTCTATCTAAGGAATATGTTAAGACATCCTTCAAGGCATTATCATCTTTATTAACATTACAAACATTGATCATTTGCAAAAGGAGATCAGTTCTATCTGTTTTATACTCTAGTTGATCTTCTCTAGTTTCATTTAATTTTTCTTTGATAACCGGAATAACTTCGTTAACAGGTAAATGACAAATCCAATCGTTTTTCAAGAACGAAAATTCTACATGTTGTTCACATAGTTTATCGAATTCCATATAGATTCCATATACTTTATAACGATTCTCATCTAAGTTCAGCTCCTTAAGAATTTTAATTTTAACCTGTTTGATCCGTTCCTCGACAGGTAATAACTTTAATAAGGTAAACGTGACATTTTTTGTTTCGTCAAGAAGATCAACATGATATTTATCCTTGTATGATTTACTAAGCAAATCGTATTGTTTATCACATGGATAATGTTCCAAGTAACTGAGCATATTATCTGTAGAGAAGTCAGATATTGTTGTAGGCAACAGACCAGGGAAAACTTTTTCCATTAAATCCTTATTAATTTTTTTGAGTGGTAAGATACGAATATATGACTGTGGCTTTTGTATCAGATGTTGCTGAGCTTTCTTAAGAAATATTTTGGCGCACCTGTTGCTCAAAATAATATCCGGTGGAGAAGTTTCATGAATCTCAAACAGTTCTATAAAAGCCTCTAGTCGTTTCTTTATTAATTTAGGGAGGAAAGATTGGTATCTGTCAATACCGATCGCGAAGGGAGTACGCTCAGTCGCATTTAGTTCACGGGGTTTCAATAATTTGAGAAAACGCACTACCAAATCCGGATTGATAAAAAAGATCTTTTTAACAATTTTAACAGGCAACACTAATTCCTTCTGCACAATTATTTCATAAGCGAAAGTCTCATTGCAAGCTATGATCAACGGATAAGCGATTTGAATGCCATAAATCGATACCATTTCTGTAAATATTTCCTGCGCAAAAATTGGATCCTTGCCAGACAATTGATGTGCAAGTGTTAGTACAATACGTGTTCTTGTGTTTATAGAAACGTAAGGGAAAAGATGTTCGAAAAAATACCTGACGTTAACAATTTCTTTATGGCTACCATCAAAAAACCAAAAGGCTTTAAAGGCACGGTTTATTATCGCTGAGTCTTCGCACTTAAGAGCAAATGTTATATCTTCATGTTTCTTTTTTTTGATGGCAGTTTCTACATTTAATATAGGCAGTAATTCTGGTGGAAGTTGTTCAAGATCGCTACTGGTCTGGTACAAAGCCAATCTTCCGATCCAACATAATTTCTCATTGGCAGTATTGCCCGGTATTTTTTGAATTGCCCGTAAATAAGACATCTATAAATCATGAGATATTTTGTAGTCATAATCCACAGTGATGGTTAAAAACGAACAGACGAACAAAACAAAATAAAATATTCTATGTATACATACTTGGTAAATATTATGTGTCAGTTGTGAAGGTGCAAGTATATGAGAGAACTAATTGCTTTATTTTCTTGTATTATCTGGCGAAATTATTACCATCGATTGAATGAATTCAACGCTTGCTTATTTTATTTAATCAGAAGGCGAGTTGATGCGGATTAACCTGTTGAATGTTCCGATATGAAATTTTTACATGGAAAATGAAACGCAGTTACTGCGTAAATATGGAAAGTTTATTTCCAAAGTATATGATACCAAATACCATCAATATACGATACAAAATACCAAAAAGAAAACCGATTTGTGTGTCAAAAAACCGAAATCTATTTTTCGCTAAATGCACTAATGCAATTTCGCCTTTGATGAGAGAAACGTATTACTGCGTATACTTACTCAATTCAATATTGCCCGTACTAATTGTAAAGTCACTCCGGACTGACAGCTTTTTCTTAAATTTATTGGCCTCGCAGCCTAACAGGCTGAAAGCTGAAACTTTTCCTCTGAAGCAATTCTCAATTCTTGAAGTGAGTGGCTTCGAACACGTACAGCGTCGACACAGTATATACACATACAGTAGCGCAACTCTCTCTCGGCACCTTTGAGGGAGTGAACCCCGAAATAAGCTAGTTTCCCAGTTACGCCATCTAAACTTTTATTTCACTTGCTCTTTACTTTCCATCTCTTTCTAGTTACTCTGGCTCATTTGTATGTACTTCATCAAATTAATCTAAATGTAATATACTGTTATATGCTCAACATATATGCTTATATTAAGATTTTTTTGAAAGAAATCAAAACGATCAAAATTGGGCAGATCAAGTTCAAAGTACATGAGGTACCATTTTATCAAACAAAATGGTACCTCATTTTTTTCATTTGGATGTGAAGTTTAGGTGTGGCGACAACGCGTACATATGAAAGATATGAATTTACGGTTGAATAAATTGAACTAAATATCATATATTAACCGTCCTACATATTTTCTTAGCTATTTTACATATTTCATAATCTTTTAATATATATTAATGAAAAAATACCAAAAAAACTGTATATTACGAAATTATTCAAAAATTTATTTTAGTCAATGCATTATGCACACCAATATTGATTTTATTTCATTTTCTAAGTCTAATATATCGAGTAATGATATTAATCAATGAACACACACGTAAGAATCAGTTTTTAAGTACTCTGAAGTGTTTACTAAACGATAAATATTTTCTTTTTTTTTTAATTCCGTACTTCGTTTTTGGCCAAGATTTCGGATCGTCTGGCCCACTGTGCGATTATTGCGAAGAATATTACTAAGGCACCGGTGATCTAACTGGTAGGACGATCGTATGGAATGTAGGAGCTTCGGGTTTGACTCTCGGCCGAGGTAATATTTTTCGCAATATAAATTTATTATTTACAGATTTTCATTGACAGATTTTAATATGTCGCTCAACATTATTAAGATCCAAGATGCTATATGAGCATCGCAAAACTGTTAATTGCTAGATAATTTTACTCGTGATATTATTGCGATTTCGTAGAAAGGCGTTTCATGACCGAAAAATTGTTCGGTGCGCGATTTAAAAGACTACCTACGTAATATATAAATTCACACGAAATTATAGTTAGCATCTAAGACCCAGCTCGACCGTTAAAGGCATTTTCTTATTAGTTGTGTTTCTCACATGTACGGTCCTATAAGATTTACATTTAAATATTGTTTAATTTAAATGTTCGTTTTTATACAGAACGTATTATTTACTTCAAAAATTTAGTTACTAATATATATAATAGTAATATAAATTTAATAACAATTGTTAATGTGTGTGTGTGTGTTTGTGTGTGTGTGGCAACTTATTCTGTAATTCAGCACTAATTGTCGTAATGAATCCAAATCAATTAGTATAGTCAAAAGATATTTTCCGTTTAATTGTTGTAATATTAATTCATCTATATAAATCGTGTAGTGGCAACGATCAGAACTATCTCATTCTATTTATTTATCAATTTAATTATCTATGTACAAGGCCAAATCAATAAGTTTTTAGAAAGACATATTGAAATACATAAAAGCAGACGTATCTCATTATTTTTATATATCTCATTTTTACGCGCGATTACGAATTCATTTTTACTCGGATACGTGACATATGCTGATTTACGAATGGTCATAAAACATTGTCTTATTCTAGTTCCGAAAAATGTTTTAAACAATTATGTCCAAAAAATATTTTAATAAAGGTATTTTTATAGGATTTGACTAAAAGTCGTGTTCAAGACATCTTTCTGTAAAATTTTAAAGTAGTCCTGAAAAGAACGTTCGAAAAATTTCTTAAAAAGAATTGCCATCTAATGATAATTGAAGACTAAAGTATACGAAAACTTTGTTATAAATAAAAATTTTTTGAAATTGAATTACAAACAGCTCAAATAAATTAACAAATTAAAATTAACAATAAACCTCCCAGGTCAAGAATAATTTGAGCAATAATGGTTGTTAAAAATATCTATAAATTTATTATATTATGATAATATTAATATACGATACGTTTCGACTTCACAGAGTCCTCATCAGCCGTAAAAAACCCCTTAACAGATGAAACTAATTACCTCTTAAGACATCCAAAATTATTATGACCACCCTATATGTCCTAACTGTGCAGATGGTGAAGTAAAAAGGCCATTTTTACTAAAACATTAATAACTCGTTGAAAAAAAATCGTACAGAGCTCAACAAAATAACAAATTAAAGGTAAAGATTCACTCTTTCGAAAGCTGTAAACTGCATTTGTGCACAATTTTTACTTGGCTCCGTGGAACTAGGCAAATACTGTAAAAAATTCTTAGGTTTGACACACTTTTATTTATGCTTGTGCAACTTCACGAAATATTAGCAAGACAGTTTTTTGAAGTACAGGTCTGAAAAGTAGAGATTTCTAGTTTTAAAATACTTTTTTAAACATCGCGATACGATGATTTTTCACGAAGTTATTCTATCTTAAAGTATGCCTATTTTTGTAGGGTGGAACAAGTGATCCTTTAATTTTGTTGATATTGCACTTGGAGATTTCACGACGTACAATTTAGAATAAAAGAATTTTTTGTTATACTTTCTGTTATTTTCGAAATCTCTCAAGTCTTTCACTTTTCATAACAAGATTGTTCAAGAAAGATGCTATAGAAGATTATTACGTGTGTCATAAAAAAGTACGTCCATTACTTACTTAAATTGGAAATAATATTGTGAAGCGTATTAAATAATTTATAATTAATTAAAATGGATATGTGTTGTGCAATATTTATATAATTATATATTAAAATAAGGTATTTATTTTAAAGTATATTAATTACTTTTGATAAATTTTTAATATATAATAAATTAGGATTATTATTTAAAACAGTAAGTGTTGTTTTATATAAGGAAAGAATAATATTTTTAAACAAATCAATTAAAGAAGACTCTCGAGAGGTTCAAATAACAAGAATAGACAGGCTAATAGAGAGTCCTTTCAGCTGTTATTGGTGCGATATATAAGATATGTTAAAATGTGAATATTATATACTACGTAAATAGTTACCCCCCCATTGCGCGCCGAACGTTCGTCGAACTTAAAACGCAACTCTAATCAACTACCGTAGTAATATCACAATTATTTTTTGATGCATTTAGCATCTAAAATGGATCTTAATAATATGTTGAAAGACATATTAAATTCTTAAATTATAATATTTAAATATTTTTAAACTTATTTACCTGTAAGTGTATAGGGACCTTTATAATATTTTTTAATAAAGGAAGTATTTTATTTCTAATCTCACAAGTATTGAGTATTTTTAATCTGATAAAATTGTGTTCTATATATATTTGACAAAGTCAATAGTTGTGGATAATCTATTAAAAACAGGAAGACAAAAGTTTTCACCTAGTTGTAACAATGATTGTACATCTTTAGGTATTATTTAATTACTTAAATTTTTAAACCAATTATCATTAGTTACATTAATATTATAAGTGTAATTCATGTAATTATTAATTTTAAGATAGGTTTCAAAAACATCCTCATTTCTATTTAACCTAGGTTTATTGAAAAAGAATTTGTTAGGTGAAAGAGTCTTGTCATGAATATTAATTATATCAGAACACTTATTTTCAATTAGTTGTTAAAAATGTCAAATTTCATTTTAATATATAATTTATACATTAGTTTTAGGACGGGTATATCAATGTAAAAATATTATATGCATGTCTTTATTTTAACCATCGAACTAACACAGCTCTTATATATGTTATTTTTTCAAGAAACATTTTAAATAATTTTCTGAAAGAGAGAGAAAATACTCGTAATTTTAGGATCATATATATATATTAGACTGGTCTTTAAAAAAACTTTTTTTTTGTTCGCCCCCTAAATTGGTTCCATTTGATGAAAAAATAAGCTGTGCTAAACCGGAGGTCGGTAGATCCATGGGAAGGGGTGCCTCTAGACCTATCGATAGTTTTATCGTTTATTCGATAGTTTTATCGTTAAAAAAAACTTTTTTTAAATTTTATTCGCTTGATATTACAACAGAAGCTGTGAATCTTCATACCGAATATGAAATCTTTTTGGAGGTCCTTTTCAAGCGAATAAAATTTAAAAAGTCTTTTTTAACGAATAAAACTATCGAATTTGATAGGTCTAGAGGCACCCCTTCCCATGGATCTACTGACCTCCGGTTTAGCACAGCTTATTTTTTCATCAAATGGAACCAATTTAGGGGGCGAACAAAAAAAAATTTTTTTAAAGACCAGTCTAATATATATATATCTTGTAAAAATAGAAAATATTCAATAATTATTTAACAATTTTTTTCTATAAAAATTCAATGACTATTAAAAATATAAAGTTATGATAATGAAATCTGCCGATGACGGGTCAAGCAGGATTTTGGTTGCTAAATGTAATGTGCAGTGAATTTTATTTACCACGTATGTAGTCCTCAATGCCGAAATTTTTCCAGATTTACAACGCAACTCTAATCAATTACCGTGTAGTAATATCACTTTAGTTAAATTGACACAAGCAATCTAAGAAATTTTTGATGCTTAAAGCATATCTTATTGGATCTTAATAATATGTTGAAAGACATATTAAAATATAACGATGTAATGTTAAATTAATGATAAATTAAAATCTGTGAAAAATAAAAGATTGCGAAGAATTTAGCAACCAAAAGCCTGCTTGACCGTCATCGGCCGATTTCATTATCATATTTACTTTGTTTTCAATATCGACGGTCACAAATCTTAATATTAAAAATATACGCATTAATTATGTAACATATATAAAGGTTTTACGATTCAATCAACATTGTATAATAAGAAGATATCATTATTTATCGTAACAAAATATTATCGCGGAGGATACACAACAATATATATAATTCACTCAACCTGTTAAAAAAATTTTTAAGTCCAATTCATTTAAATAATTGCATAAAACAGTCATGGTAGCAAGCTCCTCATGCATTCCTCGTAACTTTTCAATAATTCGATCGTATCTTGCCATGTGTTCCGTCCGGATCGTTTTGTCACAACAATATTGTAACATTGTCACAGCCATAAAACAGGAATGCGTATATCAGCTTCAATGAGACCTTCTATGACACTAAATTTGGCTTGTTTCAAATCCGGATATTTGTATACTTTAACTAAGAAGTACTCGAGAATCTCAACCATAAACGAGATTAATAGCGATGAGAAAATGTTGATTAATTCATATGTAACTGCTGACCGAGTTTCAGGCCAAAAGAGTTGGTTGATGTATATTCCTGCAACGTCTTTGCGTATGTCAACAATAAATAAGACTTTGCATCCTGGCTGGGTGATAAGACAGATAAAAATATCATTTGTATGTTATTGATAATTTCCAGGTTATTAAAGATGATGCAGCTAATACTGAAATCATTTATGAATAAACGCACGGCTTGGTTGATTGGATAGAAATCTAATTTTTTAGGATGGGGTACATTCCAATAAGATACCATTGCGTTACGAAAGACATCAGCAAATATTTTGAAGCATGCTGCATATTTATCCTGTTCCTGATCTGATAAAATATACGATATTGTAAAACGTCTTGCTGCGCTGGATACATTACTATTCATATGGAATCAAAATCTTCGAAGTATATTTTCAGTAAATTCTTCAGATAAAAGATTGAAAATAGATTCAGTAAATGTTGCTAAGAATTTTGCAACGTATTTGTTCTTTTTTTTGGTCGTCCAATCCTTGAAAATCGTTTATCGTTTTGAGCCATAGATCGAGATATCTTACGACGTATTCACTAGGAATCTTGGAAAATAGCTTCATCTCTGAAACCAATGCTTCGTCATCGAGACTCAACGTTGATACAGTTTGACAATATAGGGACCATGTTTCAGGATTTGGGTCTGAAAGAAAACATATCTGGAACGTCTCGAATAAAATTTGTCGTACTGAATGATCCTTCTCGATTGCCCACGTTTTCTGGAGAAAGTCTGTAAGCTCATGCATAGTCGTTATCATATACATCAGCCCAATTCCATGCTTACGTGTGGTCACATCCATACTCATCAATTTTTGTGCAATTGATATAACTTTAGGCAAAGAAGTTCGCCTACTTACACTTGTTAGTGTATACAAACCTATTGATAAATAATCTCCTACACACAATCTAACTATGAGATCGAGAGGTATTGGTGGATTAGAAAGTCTCATGCTCAATAGTAAATATTTTATAATTTCATAGTTATTTTTAGCATTGGGATGATTGATATCTATCGTTGTTTCTATGGGTATGAAAGGATCGATCAGTTTTGTCAATTCATCACCATGACATAAAAGAGCCAAGACAACTAGGCTTGATGATATTTCATCTGTATTTTTATCGTAAATATAATTCATGCAACGTTCAAAAAATTTAATGGGCAAGTCTTTATACCATTGTGTGGCCTTGATAAAACGTTGTACATGTTTTAAATTATAGTCCTTCATGCAATTTGCTAAATATTCTTCCCAATTATCCAGTATGTTTGGTAAATCTCGTTTCAATAGAGCGTGCGCCACGCCTGACGTTACACACGCATTTGGGATATTTGAAGGAAACCAACTGCAGTACAGTTCTGGCTCATTTTCCTGCAATATATTTTTCAAGATAGAATTTTTGCCAGAACGTAGAATTTCGTAAATAACATCCATTAACCAAGGATAATCTCTAATTGTCATTTTTTCTATTTTGGTGCACGATTTTTTATACCAGTTATTAAAATCATATATTGCTGCAAATAATTTGCTGAAAAAATACTTTTTTTCATAAATCTCTTTAAAAGATTTTTTTTTAATTTGATTTGCGAAAGTTACGAGACATTGTCTCTCATACCGTGGATATTCTGTAAGTATGTTAAATTCGTAACGTCGATTACTTTCCAAAAGCATATCGATGAGCTCCTCAATTGGCATATTGTGTATAAGTTTGAAATGTATTATAGCCACGAGTATCATTACCGGCATGAATTTATGTTTTACATAACATAATTGAACAATGTCTAATATAAGAGAAATCAGCTTTTCATTTAAATAAGGTAAATTGTATATTTCTGATAGTTGATCGAATATTTTTGTGAACACCAGCCTGTCTTCGTTTTTATGTCTATCTAAAAAATATTTTAAGAAATCGAACAAGGCATCATTATCTTTATTAACATTACAAGCATAGATCATTTGCAAAAGGAGATCAATTCTATCCATTTTTTCTGTAGTTTTATTTAATTTTTCTTTGATAACCGGAATAACTTCGTTAACAGGTAAATAACAAATCCAAGCTTCGTTGATGGGAGGTACCCGAATGACACATAGATTACCGTTTTCCATATAGAATAAATATTGACAACGATTCTCCTCTAAGTTCTGCTCCTCGAGAATTTTAATTTTAGCCTGTTTGATTCGTTCCTCGACAGGTAATAACTGTAATAAGGCAGGCGTAACATTGTTTGTTTCGTCAAGAAGATCAACATTATATTTATCCTTGTATGATTTACTAAGCAAATCGTATTGTTTATCACGTGGATAATGTTTCAAGTAACTGAGCATATTATCTGTAGAGAAGTCAGATATTGTTGTAGGCAACAGACCAGGGAAAACTTTTTCCATTAAATCCTTATTAATTTTTTTGAGTGGCAAGATACGAATATATAACTGTGGCTTTTGTATCAGGTGTTGCTGAGCTTTCTTAAGAAATATTTCGGCGCACTTGTTGCTCAAAATAATATTCGGTGGAGAAGTTTCATGAATCTCAAACAGTTCTATAAAAGCCTCCAGTCGTTTCTTTATTAATTTAGGGAGGAAAGATTTGTATCTATCAATGCCGATCGCGAAGGGAGTCGTATTACGCTCAGTCGCATTTAGTTCACGGGGTTTCAATAATTTGAGAAAACGCACTACCAAATCCGGATTGATATAAAAGATCTTTTTAACAATGTTAATAGGCAACACTAATTCCTTCTGCACAATTATTTCATAAGTGAAAGTCTCATTGCAAGCTATGATCAACGGATAAGCGATTTGAATGCCATAAATCGATACCATTTCTGTAAATATTTCCTGCGCAAAAATTGGATCCTTGCCAGACAATTGATGTGCAAGCGTTAGTACAATACGGGTTCTTGTGTTTACAGAAACGTAAGGGAAAAGATGTTCGAAAAAATACCTGACGTTAACAATTTCTTTATGGCTACCATCAAAAAACCAAAAGGCTTTAAAGGCACGGTTTATTATCGCTGAGTCTTCGCACTTAAGAGCAAATGTTATATCTTCATGTTTCTTTTTTTTGATGGCAGTTTCTACATTTAATATAGGCAGTAATTCTGGTGGAAATTGTTCAAGATCGCTACTGCTCTGGTACAAAGCCAATCTTCCGATCCAACATAATTTCTCATTGGCAGTATCGCCCGGTATTTTTTGAATTGCCCGTAAATAAGACATCTGTAAATCATGAGGTATTGTAGTCATATATTGCAAGTATATGAGAGAACTAATTGCTTTATTTTCTTGTATTATCTGGCGAAATTATTACCATCGATTGAATGAATTCAACGCTTGCTTATTTTATTTAATCAGAAGGCGAGTTGATGCGGATTAACCTGTTGAATGTTCCGATATGAAATTTTTACATGGAAAATGAAACGCAGTTACTGCGTAAATATGGAAAGTTTATTTCCAAAGTATATGATACCAAATACCATCAATATACGATACAAAATACCAAAAAGAAAACTGATTTGTGTGTCAAAAAACCGAAATCTATTTTTCGCTAAATGCACTAATGCAATTTCGCCTTTGATGAGAGAAACGTATTACTGCGTATACTTACTCAATTCAATATTGCCCGTACTAATTGTAAAGTCACTCCGGACTGACTTCGTCTTAAATTTATTGGCCTCGCAGCCTAACAGGCTGAAAGCTGAAACTTTACCACTGAAGTAATTCTCAATTCTTGAAGTGAGTTGCTTCGAACACGTACAGCGACCAACAACGTCGACACATTATATACACATACAGTAGCGCAACTCTCTGGGGGCGGAATCCATATAGATGTTGCTCAAGACTCGAGCTAGTGCTTAAGACGTCACGAACCAATCAGAGAACCGTATTAACGTCTTAAGACATTGCTTGAATTGATCTTGAGATTGTGAACGGACTATGGATTCCCCGGTTTGGGTGATTTTACATGCAGCGCGGTACTACGCGGTACACGATACGCGATAGGCGGTAAAGTAACTTTGGAACCGCGCGCGGTAAGCCTATTTTTTCCTACTATTACATGGAGCAGAAACTGCGCGGAAAAGCGTCACGGACTAGTGACAAGTTGACATTACTATGCACTTTTTAATGAAATTAATAGATTTAAATGCAATTATTAAGCAGATTTGTTGAAAAAATAATATTATTGATAAAATATGCATAGAAATAAGTTAATACATTTAAGAAAATGCATACAAATGTGAACTTGTCTCTATACTGTGCCGCCTTCCTCGCTTCATGTAATAGTAGGAAAGAAGAAGTATAGGCGGAACGATAACGACATGGCCGGCATCGGCTCGGTCGGCTGGGTGCATAACTAGAAATTAGCACAGGTATATACTGCAGTGTATACTGCCAAGTAAAGAGAAATAATTTCGGAGTTCGGAGTTTGGTAGGAACAAAAACGATTTTTGCATTAATTAAAGACTGTTTTCGTCATGGAGACTGCAGATATGATGTTAATGGCCATGATAATATTATTAAATAGATTAAATTTAATAATTACCATGCGCTTTATTGGCCACTTGGAAGAAATTTGCGTGAACTTTTCAGGTTAATTACCTTATAGATACTTTACCGCGTACCGTGTACCGCGTACCGCGGCTTGCTGCCGCGGTTCCGTAGTTACTTTATTACCGCCTACCGCGTTCCGCGCTGTATGTATAATCACCCTGAGAGCGGCCATGCCCGGGATTTAGCTGTTACTTTATTTTGAAGCGCCTCTATGTCTACAAAACATAGACATTGAACTATGTAGCCAATGTCCACGATTTTTTGGTTCGAATCTTCCCTATGTCCATGATTGTCGATCCGTTAGACAAACAAAGACAGACAATCGATTGTCTTTTAATTAAAAGGCTTATTTAAAATAAAAAATATATAGTTCCAGAAACTTGTTTAAAATATTAATTAAGAAATAAATTATTTATTATTATTCTTTATTAAAAATACTATAGTTTTTTTCATTCGTGTAATAAAAAGTTATTGCAAACTAATAATCGCTTGCTGTAACGTAATTGAAATATATATCTAAGGTATTCATGAGCTGTATGTGCACATAACGAATCAAAAAATAAAGCAAAATCAAACAATATAAAGCTTATTCATCCGAAAGTATTAATAATATTAAGAATATATTATTTTACTTATTTTGTAATATACATTGATGTTTTGCGACAGTTAGATGATTGACGTAAGTGGCTTTCGGGATTTTATCGTGGAAGAGCGAACCCGTGTGAAACTGGCTCCCCAATATTAAAAAATCGATTTTTTTCTTCATGCATTCGTTTGCTCATCGTTTGCTCACGAATACTCAGTTGGAATTTTCGTTTGCTCACCCTTAGTTCAAATGATACAAGAAAATTAAGTTTTGGTATCGAATTAAAAAAAATGATTTTTTTTCTTCATGCATTCGTTTGCTCACAAATCTTTTGAACTAAGGGTGAGCAAACGAAAATTCAAACTAAGCATTCGTCAGCAAACGATGAGCAAACGAATGCATAAAGAAAAAAATCGATTTTTTAATATTGGGGGACTAGGGTGAAGTTGGCCCCCAAAACATAATTTTCGTATATCTTTTGAACTAAGGGTGCGCAAACGAAAATTCCAACTAAGCATTCGTGACCAAACGATGAGCAAACGAATGTATGAAGAAAAAAATCGATTTTTTAATATTGGGGGGCCAGTTTCACACGGATGAAGAGCAAACAGTCATCGTTCATCTCACTTACCGAGCAGTTAAGTTATTCCATTACCATGGCTCGTGTAGATAGGTGTAGCTCTGTACCTTAGCTCTACTTGCCATTTCTTTTTGAAACATATTTGTAATAAATATTAAATAATATGAAACGTTGTACCTGAGATTCCAAAAACTTACTCAAAATATTAAATTAGAAATAAGTCAGAAATTTTTTTTATTTCAAATAATAAATATTAAATAACTGCTCAATCTTTTTATTTAAGAGAGAGAGGGAGAGAGGGAGGGAGAGAGAGAATTTAAAATATACATTTTAAATAAAATCGTTTTAAATACCGACCGACCGCTGACTGATATATACGACTTATTTAAAATAAAAATTATAAAATAAATTTTGGAAACTTACAATAATAAAGTTTAAATAATCCTTTTATCTTTTTTAGTAAAAATATGTATTTTAAATAACTTTGTTTTTTAAATAGGAATCGAATCCTGTATATTAGTATGAAACATTTTGACGTTATATTACTTGAAATAAAATAAGACCCAATTAGTATTTTTTTTGTCGCGGAATTAATATAAAATAATTTCTTACATTGATTTTTTCAAAACTATCATAGCTATTTAGTGGCATAAGTCGTTTAATGTAATATCGTAATTATATCGTGGTACTGCATATCGAAGAACATATTTTACATTTACTTTATAATTTTGAATATTCCTTATTAACTAATGTGCTGACAAAAGACAAAAGGTAAAAAGTGATTTTTACCAACATGGTTTTTTTTTTACGTAATTATTTACGTTAAATGTTTTTGATATCCTAACATTATATATTTTAATATTTATAAATCTCTGTCTCTCTTTTTAATGATTTACAATTAAATAAAAATTAATATGTTATATACATTTTTTAAATAAAAATAAATTAAAATTTTTTTTAATTTTAAAAATAATTTGGACTAAGTAGAATAATAATGTGTATAAATATATATATAGCATTCGTATACATTTAATATATATATATATATATATAATTTACTCTTTGATTTTGGATAAAGAATGCGGAATAAGACATAATAATTGGCAATACTAAACAATTCAAAAGTAACAAAAAGGCACAATGCGTCAATTTATTTTGTTAAAAATATTGCGTACTTATACGAATTTCGTGTAATAAAACGTTACATTACAAACTATAATAATTACTTTATTGTAACATAATTTGAAATATCTAAAGATGAAGTATTCAAGAGTCGTGCGTAATAACATGTAAGAAATAAAGCAAAAATCGTATAATAAATTGCAATTATCGGAGAACAATATAAAAATGTGACGAATTTTAATTATTTTGTAAATAATACGCGAGCGCGTTTTAATGAATATTTCGACGGTTAATATTAGACGGTTAGTGAAAGCAACCTTGGGAATTGTTTTGATGTGGAAGGGCGGACGCACAGTCCCCGCTCACCCGGCTCACCGATATACCAAGCGGCAAGCAGTTATTCCATTATCGCAGCTCGGTATAGGTAGGTAGCTGTACCGCTCAACTTAATATTTCTTTCTGAAACGTATTTTTGTGACAAGCACTATTAAAGATAATACTAAACGTTGTATTTTACATTTCAAAAACTTACTTAAAATATTAAATAAGAAATAAGTTAGAAAAAGTTTTTTTAAAATACGAAATGTTAAATAACTGCTTCACACATTTTACTTTTATATAATTTAAATACATAATAAATACATATACATATATACATATATATATTTGAAATATATATTTTAAATAAAATTATTTTAAAGACTACCGACTGCTGCTGGCACTTAGCTCTTCAATTCTGTTCTATTTTGTATTTTTTTTTAATAGGACCAAATTATATTTTTGTATAATAATAATTTGACTTTAAATTATTTGAAACACAGTGAAATTCAATTAGTATTTTATCGCAGAAATAATGAGATCCCATAAAAAAACCTTTTTTTAAAAAAGAAAAAAACATACGCCAAGTGCATATAAAAGATACTGAACTTCTTGATCAAAAATAGATATGAGATAAATATAATTGACCAAGTGTATTTTTCATTACGCCAGTCACATAAGACAGACCGAAAGTGACTATAATTGTCAACTGGATTATAGTGAAGAAAAAACTTGGCGTGCCCGGGTCGCATTAATTGTAAACAGTATTCAGTGAAAACATTATTTCAACATAGTATTTGCATTATAAATTAAAATATAAAAATAACAGACATATGTATACAGATATATACGTATAATATATACGTATAATATACACGTATAATATAGTGATATAATTAGTATCATTATTCACTATATAGTGATATAATTTGTGGGACATGAAAATATATTCACAACTAAGTATTATAATATGTTCAGTAAGCAATTATTAACATCTTTTCTTTGTTGAATTGTTTTCGCATATATTGTGTATACTGCAGAATATTGCGATAGAACCAAGGTTCTAGAATATTGCGTTTTAATGCGACC